TCACAGCAAAGACTACATAGATATAAATATTCCATCTCCATGGGTTTTCCAGGTCAAAATGCTCACATCAAAATTTTCTCAAAATATGATGAAAACAACTATTAAGAAGAACAGTGTAATTTTACTGTGTTAGCATTGTAACTTAGAGTTTCAAATAGACTTCTGGGCCACCAAGGGCCCCACATTTCTGCAGCAAGTCTGGGATGCCTGTGTTCGGGGTTTCAGAGAACATCTCACAGTCCTAAAGGGCAGCCTGATGGCCAGAGAAATGGAATAAAACATTGATCTGGAATGAGTGGTAGCAAACCAAGACTGAGAAGAGCAAATGATTAAAGGAATCCCATTTTCCATTACTGACAAATGAGAACATACCAATATTCAAACAATATTCAATCAGAACATGGGAAGAGGTGTTCTATTTGGTTCATTTGAGCTCAACCAGGTCAGATGCCTGGTCTTCTCTAGAGCAATGTCTGATTCCTGTGAAGGAGTTGGATAGTCTGCACTCACGGCAAAACTTGCATCTTGCCGTCAGTGGACCTCAGGACCAGATAACAGAGAAAAAGCTGAGTGTAGAAGGAAGTTAAAATCACACTATTAAATCCTCTCAGGTTTTTAGTCAAGTTTGTTGTGCTCTCCAAGGTAAGTATATAAATGGCTGGGCTTTGTGAGCAGAGACTGACTGTATTATCTAATCACAGGTGATATCTGAAAAGAGTAACAGTGACAAAAACTGGTCCTTAGTAGATCAGAATTTAGAAAGAGGAAATGCTGAACTTGGTTCCCATGGATGGTAGCTGATATCTATCTCTCTGGTGTTTTTGTTTGTTTGTTTGTTTCATTTTTCTATTTGTCAGGAACCAAAAACTCACTGAATTGTGCCAGGGGAAGAAAGGACTTTGAAAAAAAAATTATAGAAAATTATTTGGTACATTTATGCTTATAATATGGTTATAAATATTATAATACCAATATTGAGATTACATGTGTATAAATGTTTTAAAAAAACACCAAAGACACACACAGAGTCTAACTATTAAGCAATATTTAACCAGAAAGTGTGCAAATGTTAGCAATGACCCTGATCAGGAATGTATCAGTGATAAACATTAAGGAAATGGAAATATGACCTAATAAACAGTAATTACAAGGATATTACAAATCCCATATGTAGGTAAATGTCTGGAAACTTTGCACTATCTAAAGTAGTCTATTGAATACTCTGCAATGACAAGTAAATTACATAATGGCATTGTAATTATATAATTGATTCTGCTCACTATATTTATGTCAATTATATGTGGAGTGAAACTTCATCAAGAAAAACCTAGTGCTGATTCACTTTGACTGTTTTTTTTTTTTTTGCATCTGTTTTGCAAGAACAATCTTAAAACAGAATAAATGGTTTACTAATTTTATTTTTTGCCTCTTCTGGCATTTCTTTTTTTCTTTTTTCTTTTTCCAATTTGAAATGTAACTAGACGCTTCTGTGAAATAAAAGCAAAATTATGAAACGAAATGGCTCTCTTTAAATCTTCAGTGTAGGCAACCAACCAACAATTACCTTGCATGTGAAACTGGAAATAGGGATTGCTAGACATTCTAAATTACAAAATATGTTTAAAATGCTATGTAATTGAGGTCACGGTAAAAGGCAAACCATTCTTGCTTTTTAAGTCTGCCACTAAAAATGGCTATAGAACCTTGAGGATTATTCTAAAATAGTAGTATGTAAAAAAATTTCAAAAGTCTTTTGGATCCATGTGTAATGGCAGTGTTGATTAAACCCTTCTAAGGAAATCCAAAAAATGCCAGCTGATGATCATAGTCACATCTGGAGGGTTATCATCCTAATTGTATAATCTTCATCATGAAAAGTTGGTATTTTTTAGGTTTCTAGAAAGAAATATTGTCTGAAACATGAGGATGGTGTCTAGCCTAGTCCAGGCCTGCAAACTCCTATTAAGATTCTTTGTGCAGTCCTTCCTGAATGATTCACCCACAGTAAATCTGGGTACACAAGAATACTATTGGCTTCACGGAGAGCCTGTATTCAAGATTCCAGAGACCAAAAGGGATTAACAGGATTGTGGCTAATAGGCAATCTAGCAATGCCCAGGAAGGTATTGTTCTCTAAAAGTCATGTCTAGGAACACTCCTTCTTTGAAGCACATTAATAAGCAGAAATGGCCAATAGAGTTTTTATTTATTTCAATCTATGACATTTCTGAAACATTTTCTTTTTGACCTCCTACCAACTCATCAGTGTGGAAAACCGAGGAAGCTCTAATCGCAGCGTAGAAATTCATGTGTCATTTTGCTTAAAAAATACTCTAGAACAGTGCTATTCCCATACGGTAGCTTCTAGTTACACATGGCTCTGGGCACTCGATTTACTAAAGGTGTAATAGACTCCTGATTTTAAAAACTTAGTATAAAAATTTTTAAAAAATTTAAAATATCTCACGAATTTCTTATATCAATTATATGTTGGAATAATAGTTTGGAAATATTGGATTAAAATACAGTTAATTTCACTCATTTTTGTTTTGTTTGTGTTTATTTTTTAAAGTGTGCCTAGAGAAAATTTAAAATTACGTATGTAGCTTGCTTCATATTTATATTAGACAGCACTTGCTCTAGAAGATAACTTCTACAACCATATTATTCTAACTTCTACTTGGCGTATTCATGGGAAAAATAAGTTCTTAAGGTTTGAGAAAAATCACTGGGATTCCAATTAGATTTAAATAGGGGATATCAAGATTGTCCGTCTTCACAGTAAAATCGTCTAGGTTATGCTGTGCATTTGAACTTATCTGAAGACAAAATTTAATAATGAAATATGATAATTGTCAGCCCTAAATGCAAAAGGTAATTTATTGTTCTTTGCAGAAACTCCCTTAATTCTTTTGCTTCAAATATAACTTGACTATATTGTCAATTAAAGAAAGGTAACATTATGAAGCAGTTTGCCAAATTAAAGCTCCAGCTACCATTATTTAGCTAAGTGATCTTTGAGAAAGATAATATATCCCATTTTAACAAAGAATATAAATATTTGCTGTTCTTTCAAAATGTTAACCAATTATCCTAACTTAGGTTGTATTTCTATGAAATCTTAGATTGAATCTCTTGGCAGAAATGACCAATTTTTGTGAAAGTTTGACTTGTTTTTCACTGGAATGACTAAGTTAGTCACTATTTAGGCATTATCAGGACTTAATCTTTACAAGTCAAAATTTAAAACTCCCATTGATTTTTTAAGAGTGCAATTTACAAGTTAAAAAAAAAGGAGGAAATTACCTTCACATCCTCGGGTGCTCCCCGAGGAAAAGGCGTTTAAATTGGTAAAATTCTTATAAACACATTGGTCCTGGCATTTGCAGTCCCCAGGACCAAGCACTGAAGTGTTGGAATGGTGTAACAACTGCCCTTGGAACAACATGGGTGTAGGCCGGGAGGGACGATATGTTCTGATCTTCCAACTAATTGCCACTTTCTAACAAGATTGCTTTCCCTCTCTTTTTCCCATTTGTAATATATGGGACACTTATTGTATATACCTGTTGAATCTCATTGGTAAAAGTACGCCAGGCAATTGATCATTTAAAATGGAAATCTTAATGCTTAGTAAAAAAGGCATTCTTAAAGGTTAAAAGTAGTGAGCCCTTAATCATAGCTGAAATGGGAATTTTGAAAGAAAAAAGGAAGGAAGGAAAGAAACAGGGAAGAAGAGGATAAGTACTTTCTACTAATTAATAAAAATAAAACAAAAAATAATCTTCTTCTGAGTTCAGATGATGTGCCCTTAAGGGCTATTTCCTCCATGTCAGTGACCTGTCAGGCCCCTAAACTCTGAAAGATGAGAAGCCCTACCTTGTTATCTTCTCAGGAGAATAGCAGGAAAGGAAAATTTGTGCTTGGAAAGCAGAATGTCTACCCAGGTCCAACAGCCCCCAGAAACAGAGGTTTAATTTTATTTTCTAATTTAATAGTTTTGAGGAAGAGCCAAAAAAATTTAAGATCTCTATTTTTTTATGAGGATTTTTATGTGATAGCCATTTTTATCATCTATCATTTTGTTCTTTGAAAAAAATTTTTGAAGTTAAAAGGTACTAAATGTGATACATAATTTCATAAAAGCCATCATTTCTATTCAAATTAGAAATAAATCTGATGTAATTGGAATTTAAATGTGATTTCTATAAGGGAAAAGTGTTAATATAAAAATCAAAGAAATATATTTTGAAAAAAATCATAGTAAAGTATTAGGTGTAATGTTACAGCTTCTCAAGAGTCTGATTTGAAATTGGTGTTTTTTTTTCTTTTTGTTTTTTAAAGTAAATAAAAAGTTGCACTGTCTAAATTTCTTCACATGGAAACTTTTGAAACTACACTGTAAAATGTGGGCACTTTCATTCCAAGTGTGCTAAAAGATATACTAGCTTTTCAGAAATCTCTTTAGTTCATAAGCAGTGTACCTAGATAACCATCAATTGAAGGGAAAAAAAGACTTTTATAAACAAAACTATTTCCTTACTCTAGTAAAGTCAATAATGAATGACATTATAATGGAATACTGTTTCTACTCTATTTAGATACTTTGGCACCATCCTCAGGGGTAGATTTTTCTAAATATTCGAAACTTGGTAATTGTAGAGTTTATACATAAAAATGTTCTGTAAAGTTGTACAAATTCACGAATAAGTCCAATTTTATCTGAAAAATGACAAGGAGTCAATCTTTGTTATTCTAAGCCCGATCTTATCTCTTTTCTTTCCTAAATTTCTTAATTCCTTCCTAAGTGTTGTCCATCAGAAAAACATTGTATTAGAGAACAGGTGAAAGAAAGAATGCATTCCTCAGCATGAGTGCGTAAAATACTTTCTCCAGAATTGGAAAATGGCAGAATTTTATGATAGAACACTTTTGGTTATTAGTAATATAGTGTGTATAAATAAGGACAAAATAAAAATGCATTCCCCACATACGCTTTGGGGGCATATGGTCTTATGGCCCTTCAAGTATGCTTCAATTCCTACCATTGTGGAATTTTTTTTGCACATACCATACAACTATAACCTATAACTGTCTCCTTGTAAACAATTTGAACACATTGATGAAAAGTAAAATGTGAATGTCAGAGGAACACATCTTAGGACACTACTTAGTACGAGCTGAGCAATAATCCAAAGGGATGACTCCCTTTGAGAAGAAATCCAAAGGGTACGGGATGGCTAGGTTTTCAAAGCAAAAACGATTTGTTACTATTTACTTCAAATGTGTGCTACTGGTCCCTGAAAATGCATGTTTTTAAAAGTCGTGTTTTGTTTACTTGCAATTTCAAATTTAACTCATCAGTATTAGGTATCCATTACATACCACAGAATACACTATTTTTTCATAAAGCAGTCACATGCATTGAAGTTAGGATTACCAACTGATACATATGTATTTTTTTGCACCTCAAAAACAGAATCACTATAGTGCATATCATGCTTCCACACCTTCCTTGCTGAAGGACAAAATGCATAAAGTGCCAGGATTTGGCTTCCAGATTGGAAGCTAGCCAATTTAGTACTCTGGCAGGATCATGTCATTCTGCTGAGCAACAATTCCCAGAGCAGGGTTTTCTTGCCCTTCTTTGGAGGCTTCCTCAGTCTTCAGCTTCTCCTCCGCTGAGCCCTCTTCTATTTCCGGGTCGGCCACCTTTATCCCATCCTCTAGTGCCTCGGGCACCATCTTGGTGGCATCGGCAGCATTTATAGCAGCATCTTTAACTTCCTCTACCTCCTGCACCTTCATTGGCTCAGCCTTTGCCGTCTCAACTGCCACTTGAGCCACATCTACTTGAACTTTCTCTCCTTCTGGAAAAGCTTTAACACCTTCATTGCCATCTTGGATTGGAGATGGCTCTTGGCTGGCCTTTTGGCTCTCTTGGATGCTGCCGTGGCTACTGCTGGCGCTTCCCAACCGGGAGGAGGCCACCACGGCCTTCACTGCTGCCTGATTGGAAACAGAAAAGTGTCAGGTGTCACCTCCACTTAAAATTCCAAATCGGAGCTCAATCTCAACTTCACATTTAGAGAGTTTGCTTTATATGTTAATATTCAATCTTTCAAAGTATATTATTCCAAAATTGTCATATGAAAACTTGTTCGTAGAGTAAACAGAAAAATGTCATTCATCGCAAACTAGTCTCTGTATTTAAGCATCTGGACAATTGAAAGGCTGAGTAAATGAGTTTGTCCATGGATTACCAGTTTTCAACAATTTCAGATTGAGTTTCCCAAAGTCTTCATTTCATGGAGCCCTAGTTCTATGCACATTAATAGGTATCTTGGGGATAAAAGAGATTCATGGCCAGATTTATTTGAGATAGACTGCGTTAAGTCGAGGGTATTTAATCCAGGTATTTCAAGTGAATTTAACCATGGAACCCTTCAGGTTTATTTAGTGTGTGTCAGCCCACAAGTGATGGCTGAGTAGAACACTGTTTTTGACCTTCAATTGTTCTTTGAGATCCCTGTGTATATTGCTAGTCCCAAATATCATTATGTAAGAGAAAAGCACCTATTCTCTATTCTACATATATTCTATAAAAGATATATTTTGGAAGATAATTTTCTATATTTGAGTTATTCGAGTATTTTAATTTTACCAAGTACGGTAATTATTTATCTATATTACAAAATATAGTTAAAAAATTTCCCCCCCAATTCTCACATATTCAGAAAGAATAAATATTAGTTTCCTGAATATTGTTGTTCAAGTAGTTCAGCCTCAAGTCAATGAAAAGCAGTGATAATGTGTTCGTTTGGCAAATAAATCTCAATATGTAACACATTTCACTTTATTAACAATAAATTCTTACGAGAGGATAACATAAGACTATAGGTGGCTTTATACAAGTATTATTAGGATTTCAAAGCAGAATTTTGCCTGGTACCACAGGACATGAGTAATAGTATTAGAAGAAGAATTGTGAAATTATCTTTGATAATTCAAGATAAGAAAGAAATACTTTTTTAAAACAACACAAAATGAAATATACGTCACTTACCTTAAGCTTGCGCCGGGCATTGAATTCTTGGAGCTTCTTCTGAGCAGTATCCATGTGTACAAAATTGGCTGCTTTACCTGTGACCCACGGGTGCTGGAGAGCTTGGAAGGTAGTCAGCCGTTTCTTAGGATCCAAAACAATTAATTTTTTGACCTGAAGTGATAAAGAGTCATAGACTTCTTAGGGAGATTTTAATGATGGCTTGGGCTTGTCCCTCATCTTGTGAACTTCTAGGTCTTATTCTTTTTCCATAGCAATACCACTGAATGTATTTTTAAAAATCTTTTTTTTAAGCCCTTGGAAATTGCTGGGGTTAAAAACTGCTTCAAGTAGCAGTAGCTGAGGGAGTCTGAGAAGACAGAGCTGTTTGCCACCAAAATGGTGGCTGACTTTCCAACAGAGGTCAAAGAAACAGGTCCTTGCTGGCCTGTGGACCGAAAGCTCTTTGAAGGAGAACCAGTGTCTGAATAATTCTGGGCTGCACTTCATATCACTTAGAATTCAGAACTTAAAATATATCTCAGTGAAGACAAAATCATTTGCTCATTCATCATTCTTTCCGTGGGGATTAAAAGTCAAACGAAGGGATAGTGTCATAGCCTCTATGATTATGCTGTGATTCTATCATGAAGTTTATGGTTCTCTCTAGTTCCTTAAAGGTACTTGAAGAAACAATCTGAGTGCCAGAGTAAAAGCCTATTTAGGATCAAAGTAAGATGTCAATGGCTTGGAGGCATGATTCGTTTGAAGGACTGAATCCAACCAATAGCAGCCCATTCTGGTAAATTTATCCCTGCTTGTGAGGATGAGCCAACAATACATTGCCAGAAAAATCAACATCCAAAATAATCCCTGGCCCTGGGCTCAGAAGGGGTGACCTGGAATGAGTCAAACACTATTTGTAGTCAGGAGGCATGTTCGAGCCCTAATTATGTCTAAATACTTTTGTGACCCTAGACAAAGACCCGCATATGAGCTGAATACCTATAGACACTCTCCTAGGCCCTTTTCTTATATAATCTTATTTTCGCCTTAATTCCTTTGTAAATCCATTTTTTTTTGGGGGGGGGGATATCGTTTTCTGAAATTTATTTATTTAAATTAGTTTCAAGTATACAGGACATTGGTTAGACATCTATATAGTTTATAAAACGATCCCCCCAATTGCTCCCTCCCTCTCCTGACCCTCTATCTAGCCATCATATTAATGCTAACTGCATTCCTTCTGCCATGCTCCTCATCTATCAACTACTAATTTGCACTTCTTTAACTCTTCTCCCCTTTCTCCCAGTCCCCCACCTCCCTCCTCTCTGTCTGTCACCAAATTATTCACTATATTTGTGAATCTGTTTTTTATTAGTCTGTTCTTTTTGTTTTTTAGATTCCATATATAAGAGAAATCATATGGTATTTATCCTTATCTGTCTGACTTATTTCACTCAGCGTAATAACCTCTAGGTCCATCCATGTTGTGGCAAATAGTACAATTTCATTTTTTTTAAATGGCTAAGTAATATTCCATTGTATATAGGAACCATAATTTCTTTATCCAGTTGTAAGTCCATTCTTACATGCATATTAAAAAAACACAGGTAATTTTTCCCTTGAAACTATTAGCTCCAATTTATAAGTAAGTGATGGAAGGGAGCTCGGAAAGATTTAGTGACTTGTCTAAGGTCAAACAACTTGTAATTGGGGGAGGCTATATTCAAACTCAGGTCTGTCTTACCTCAGAGCTCATCTTGTGGCCACTCACCATAGTGCCTCCCAGGCAACCTCTCAGGCTCATGTGTAAAATGTGTAAAATGAGGGACTTTGGATGATTTAAGGCCTACGGTCTTTTCTAACTCTAATAACCTAAGAAGAACTGAACACAGGCTAACAAAATCAGGCTGCAAGGCAAATGAAGGATAAATATCTGGTTCTCCTTTTACTTCTTTTCTGTAAAATACACAAAGGAATGTGTGTTTGGGGTAGGGACACTGAATTTGTAGAAGGCAGAGACATGAGGCTACTTAGAGTTAAAATCTGAGAGGTGGTGGAGGGCAATTCAGATGATTACATAAAAATCTGGTAGTAGTCATAGCTATATCATCTGTTGAACACATGAACTAATAATTTTATGTACATGATACCTAATCATTAACATCCTTGAAAATTTGATATTTCCCTCTCATTTCCAATCATCCTTTTCTTTACCTTCACCCTTACCATCTTCTTCCTCATGAAAATACAAAGAATTTATTGAAAGCCAATAAGTATTAAAAATTTACATATGCCAGCATCTATCTTCACATTTGAAGATACTGAAGTATTGAATTGTTAAGAAACCTGCTGAAGGTCAGAGAGATCCAGTGACCTTGTCAGGATTCAACCCCAAAGCCTTAGAGGTATCCTACGCACCCCTCTTACAACCTGACTCTTTCACTCATTGGCACTTTTGCATCTGCCAATGACAACGGATGCAGGCTCTCCTAATAAGTACATATTTATGGGCTCAAGGATTTCTTTAGTTCTGAAGTTTGATAAATTTATGAACCAATGAGATTTAGCTAAATGAAGAAACATCACTGCTAATCCTCTTATCCGTTTAATTTTTATTAGGGATGAGAAGAAAAGAAAGGAGGGCTAAATAAAGGAACTCTTATTGAGTTAGTTGGTGGTTGTTACTTAACATGTATCATATCCCTTAAGTCTCCCAACAATCTAGAGATAGGTAGAAGTATCACCCCTTAAAAGAAAACTAAGCATAGAGAGGTTAGATAACAAGCCCAAGATCACATCTCTAGGTTATGAGAAAGAAGGCACTTGAATCCAAATATGTCAGACTTTAAAAATCTGTGGTCTATTTCCTAATTTATTGTTTCAGTCAATAAACATTTATTGAGTCTGTACTATATGCCCATATGGCATTAAGATCTGGGAACACATGCTTTGTCCTCTCCCAGGAAGACTTTTGCCCAAGTAAATATAAATGACAATATCATAAAAGAGGAAGTCTAGGGGACAAAGGAACAAACCAATTGTAGGAGGAGGGACTGCAAATTGGGGGCAGATCAAGCCTCCCAGAGGATATCAAATGGCAGCTAGGGCTTGAAGAGAAAAGTTACCCCCTCAAAGAGCTGTGTATGTGAATGTATGTGATGGTGGTGAGGAATAGGAAGGAAGGATGGAGGAAAGAACATTACAAAGCAGAAGAAAGAGCAATGGCTCATATCCAGAGCTACACCGATGAGGGATTGGAAGTCTGGTGACTGGAGTGAAGAGAGATCAAAGGAGAGTGATGTGAAATGAGTGGCAGGGGAGAGGGTGACAGGCTCCAGACCAGGCAGCAAGTGTTGTATATACCTTGTGATAGGTCTTGGATTTTGTTCTAAGAGCCCCAAAGCAGGAAAGTGACATGATGTGATTTATTTTTAAGGCTATTCCTCTGGATTCTGTGTGGAGAGTGTATTGGGAAGGCCATGAGAAGAGGCAGGGAGACCAGACAGGAAGTCGTGGCAGTGATCCAGTGGGAGATGATGGGGGCTTGGATTGGACAGTGGTGGTGGAGGTGGAGAGAAGTGGGTGAATTCAAGAGATGTTTAGGAGTGTGGGGCCTGACTTGAGGGTGGAGTTGGGATGATACATCCACATATCATGCATACTCCTTCTCTTCCCAGTCACACTGGAAAAGTCATAGCTTGTAGCATATTTGTTTCATGGAAGAACATGGGAGGTAAGATGAAAATGTTTGGAGGGAAAAGAGCTTTGGATAAGGGGTGTGGAAACTTGAATCATTATTTCCTGACAATGACTTTTTGCTGGGAACTTACATGACCTAGGACAGTCATTTCACTTCTATGGGCTAAAGCACACTCATCTTTAAAATGAGGGGAAGACTAGATGGCTTCTAAGATTCCCTTGGAGAGCTAACATCTCTGATTCAAAAGTCAGCTTTTAGGAATTACTGCATGGTTTTTCTCTAGAGAATAGATGGTAAATGTTTTAATTCTATGCTAGTATCCTCTTTCTTTTAGAACAGGTGAGCCATCTCCTCAGAGGGTATGTGTTTCCTGAATGCAAACAAACTTCATTATTAGCTTAAGTTAGAACCCAAGTAAAACAAACAAACAAACAAACAAACAAACAAAACTCACCAAACAAAATGCATTTTTAGTACAGTGTAACTTGTTTACAATGACAATGATAAATGATGGGACTTGTGTTATTATCAGGATATTTTAATAAGTTTAAAAATTTCAAGAAAAATGTTGTTTTATTTGAAATATAACCAAATCTAGGTAATAGCAAGCCATGTTAAAACAAAGTTCTGTGTAAGCTAATGTTTGGATTCACCCAACACAGCGGTCTTCATAAGCAAGGCTCTATATTGACTAAGTGGTAAAAACTCATTAATTAATATTGCAGTAATCTGTAGTTTGTGTTAATTCAGCTAGTAGTGAGTCAAACATATCTATTTTTCATTATGTATAAGGAAAATGTATTAGTATATACTGTTTTAGCAAAAATACAGTTATAAAGAAGTAAGCTACTAAGCAGGGCGAATTTAAAAATGACACTGCCCATTAACTAGCTAAAGATGAATGTGAGAGATTTCACTTCACTTCATTTCATTTCATTTCATTTCGTTTCATTTCATTTCGGTTATACTTACCAAGTCCTTGGCGTTTAGAGATACTTCATCCCACCAGGGGGAGATAAAGTAATATTCACAATTCAGAATTCTCCTGAACATGAATTGATCGCCTCTTTCATCATAGAATGGTTCGAATCCACAAAGTCTGGAGGGACAAAAGATAGGGAATAAAATGTTTTTAAAAGCCTAAGTATATTTCATCAATTTTTTTTGTAGAAATTCAAGACTACCCTTTCTCACAGCTTCCCATTATGAATGCAAGTCTATTCGGCACGAGTATGTAACTGCCTTGTGACAATTCACTTTTGAGAATGTAAACACTCATGTTTTCAGGAAGCAAGAATAGATACAAAACCAGTTTAGGATTTCTAAAAAAAATTATAAAAATATTAATAATTATGACACAAAACAACAACAATCATAATAGTTAACATTATTATTGGCACTATGTTGATGACTTTCCATGATTATTTTCACCAGGAATTGGAAAGACAGAGATTGATTAGAGTTCTAATTTATCAAAAAGTAGAAGAATTAGGATTTTAAGAATAAAGAGATTAAGAGGTGGAAAGAAATGATTTTTCAGTCATTTTTACTCAGTCTTATTCACTGAATTCTTCCATAGAAATGAGCAAAGTATTAGATTTCTATCCCATTGCAGTTTGGATTTCAGAGTGAAAAAGACAAGAGCTCAAACTACTATCAGAGAATGGCCTTCTAAACTTCATACAGTGAAAAGATAGATGCAGCCAAAGAGATGAGCAGCCTAAAGTTTCTTCAACCTTGTATGTAGTCCTCACTTTTGTACTTCTAACAGACATTTTACTATGTTCACCTTCGTTTCCCACAACAGGGTCAGCATAAAAATAAAGGAGAAAAGTGGAAGAAAAGAAATGGAGAACCACCTCTGGGAAAATGAGTTGCCTTTTTAGGACTATCAAGCCTCTGCTGCTTTTAGAAGGGTGAAGGTTCTGAAATCACTAGGAACCAAAAAGGGGCTATAAGAAAAAAAGCCCCTGCCAGGAAATGTGTTGTATTTGACAGAAGATGAGGGAAAACAAATGAGTAAGTTAAACAACATTTCCCCCAATTCTTCCTTCAGGCCGGCCAGGTTGGTGCAGAACATGAAATGTTCAAGTGCTTCCTGATGTAGTGGGTTTCTAGGAAAAGCAATTTCTCACGTCCTGTTGCTCAGGGAACGTCCCCTTGGGAGAGTCTTTGTCTCTTTCAAATATTCTGCAGCCAGCCATGAAAAGGCAAGACTCAGGTATGCTGAGGACTGGGCCAATGCCTCCACTCCCTCCCACTGCAGGTCCCTACAGAGGATCCTGCTCCAGCTGAGGAGAGAAGGGAGCCTAGAGTCCACTCCTTGATTGACAAGGAAGCTGCTCAGTCTTTCCTGTACACTCCATGACACTAGAAAAATATAGTCTGTTGTTGGTTAATCACAGAGAAATTAGCAAACTTTATAGGCTTATTTTAGGGAACTCTATGTTTTCCTTTCTGGAAATCAAGAGAGAAAAATGACAGTTCAGAAGGTACAGTACTTAAATGCCTTTCATTTATCTCGGTCATGTCAGCAAATTGGTGAATTGGTGACAGAGGTAAAAAGTTTATGTCATGTCATCCTGAAATGCCAAAAATCGAAGAAATGTGACACAGAACACAGGATGTACACACACACACACACACACACACACACACACACACACACACACACACACAGTGCAAAAATCCTTCAGAAATGGAAATATTTGAATGCTGACAAGGACGTTTAGGAGAATGTTAGGATTGTACAGGCTTGAAGTGTTGCTCCAAGCCATTGGGCAGAACTGCAGTGTTTAAAGCTGAAAGAGAGAGTTTGAATCTCTGACATCATCTGATTCTGATTCTGACCTGAGCATCGGTAGTAGTAGCTGTTTTTGTCTGTGGGGACTAAGGGTTTAGGTGTAAAGGTAGAGGGATCAGAATTCCCGTGAAAAACAACAAAATGGCCTTTATTTCCCATCTACTGTCATCCTTAGAAATAGCAAGGTCATAACACAAAATGGCCTGGTGTAACTTTTAATAATAATGAAGGAGGTACACAGCCCCAAGGGCACATGCCGCTGGGGAAAGTGTTCCAGTGAATCCTGCCTGATAGAATTCATCAATTATTAGTGAACTACAGATTAAATAGAAAGTCCCCAGACTGACAGAGTTAGACCAGAACTAATGGTATTAGTAGGAAGCAGTACTTTTATTTTTATTTTGTGCTACTACTGTTTACTTTCAACCAACATCTATTAATTAATGACCTTAAGTAAACTGGGGGAAAGGACCTTGACAGACTTTAAATATTATTTCCAGGGCAATAATAAGATGTTTCTTAAATGATTACATTTTTTTCTCTTTATTTTCTCACATCAGTGACCATATCATGGAGTTTTACTCATTCCTATTTTTCAGTTTTACAGGGTGAATGTAAAGTATCTTAGTTTCCTATCTCCATCTCTCTGAGTTTTTGTACATCCTTAGTACTTTAACTCTTCCCATCCCATTTCAATACAAAATTGTAATTGGATGGGCACATGTATGTTTTAGGGACAAATCTGAGTCATTATTTGTATAGTTCAGTTTTTCACTTAACGTCACTGAGTATGATATGTCAACTACATACTTCGGGAGACAACATTCTTTCCCGAGTATAAATATGATATCAAATATAAGCTGAAAGAATTCTGTGATGTGGCCTTAGGAATTTGTTTTAACAAATTAAGCACCTAATGTGGCAAACAGAAATCACCCAACAGTTTGCACTTTCATAAGAAAAAAACATGGTTCTCTACCTCTCCAAATTCTTCTGAAGCTTTAATATATTCTGAAAACACAGGGAATTGAACACTGAAAATATTTTTTGACATTACAGAATAGCAGATGGCTAATTTTTGAGTTGCTTGTTCAACCTTTTTGTCTTGGCTACTGACCAATGTATATACTCAGAGTTTACTAAGTTGCTTAAGGTGTGTGTGTGTGTGGGGGTGGTGGTGGTGGTGGTTCTACACCAGTTACCTCATGCCATATTACCAAAACACTTGAATTTCTAAGCTTGCTATTAAATTTTTTAAAAAGCCCTCTTTCTTTTATGGATCGAATCGCATCCTCTCTAAATTCTTATGTTAAAGCTCTAACCCACTAATATGATGGCATTTGGGGATGAGGCCTGAGAATTAGGGTTAGAGGAGTTCATGAGGGTGGGACCTCATGATGGAAGTAGTGCCCTGTTAAGAAGAGATAACAAAGAGCTTGCTTCTTCTCTCTGTCCTGTGAGGACACAGCAAGAAGGTGGCTGTCTCCGAGCCGGGAAGAAAGCTCTCACCAGAATCCGGCCTACCAGCACCCTGACCTCAGACTTTCAGCCTCTAGAACCATGAGAAAAAAATTTTTGTTGTTTAAGCACTCCGCCCGCCCCCCAATCTATAGTATTTTGTCATGGCAGCTTGGGCTAACCAATAAACCCTCTTTCAAACCCTCTAAAATCTCTTTATAGATTTAACTGTTACAGCTTTCAACAATTAACCTCGTAGGATCCTCCAAAGGGCAACCAGATCTATTTGTTTGTAATGAAATCCTGAAACTCATTGATATTTTGCTTTTGTAGCTATTCAACAGCCATCTTCCCCACTAGACATTCTTTTATCTTTCTTGCTTATTTCCCTTGTATTTGTCTACAGTTTCATCATCTCTTTTGCAAATTTCCTGAAACCCCTTGTGTATTAGTAGATAGGAGCTTAGGAATGAAATTGGGGATACCAGGGAGTGAGAGATTTAGCCCATATTTTTTCCTGCCAGAGAAAATGTTTCTCTGAGTTTAGGCTATTAAAACCAAAGTCCTTGAGAAACTAAAAGAAATAGGAAACAAAATTGAGAGCCAAAAATGCATTTAAAACACTTCTGATAAGAAATGTACCAGTTTGGGATTGCTTAAGAGATTAAACAGCCATTTGCCCTTTAAAAAGGACTAATACACTAATTATTTTGATGCAATGCAAATAAGTAAAATAAGAGCACATTTAATAGGTGAATACGAGTTTCACATTTATTACTATCATCAAATAATGAATTGTTCTCCAAATCTGCTATGCATTGTATAGTAGAATGAGTCAAAGAAAATCACAAAAAGTCAAAAAGATTTTTTATGAGGACTATAGTTACTTAGAAAATATTATAGCAAAGGCAAACAGTTTGCATAAAGATTGCTTTTCTTCACTTACAAGATGTAGGTGATTACTCCTACAGACCACATGTCCACCTCAGGTCCATAGGCACAGCCTCTAAGAATTTCAGGTGCTGCAGAAAGAAGAAAAATTGTGTTAAACTGGAGTTTAAATTCAACATTTACATTTAATAACAAGTGACAGGGAAGAAATGAATTCATCAACACAAACTTAAGAAGAGTTTTATAACCTGTCTTCTCTCTCCTAACCAACAAATGAGACTACAAATTCTTGTCTCTTTTAGCGAGAGATTATAGTCTCTCTGTGCTTGGAGTACATAAAAATAAAGTTATTAACTTTAATATTCTACATCGCAGCATCATGATACTGCTCAAATCAGATAGATAGAGCTATGCTTCTGCTACAAAAGATCCCTTACTTCAAAGAGAGCTTTGTACATAGAAAAGAAAGAAATGAAAGTTTAGCATAGTAAAGGAAAAGAGGCACAATTATGCTACCTTGAGATCTAGATAAGCTTGGAGAATGGGGCCTCCATGAGTATGTGCATTTGACAGTGTGCAGGGCAGAGACCAGGGCAGACAGTGGGAGGGATTGGGAAGTCACTAGTGTTAGAAGATTGGAGCAGGAGCTAGGAGGGCCCTGGCACAGGCCCCGGTGTTGAGAACTACATGTAGATCCCCAGGGACAGCTGTTTCAGTCATTTTGGGACTATGAATTGAAAAAAGGAGGACTTCTGTGTGATAACGAGGCTGCTCCTATTAGTCCTGCCCAGAGGAAGTTGCTCTCAACCGCATAACAGCCCTGTAGTATAGAATCGTGAGTTCTTTCATGTTTTTATTACCTTGGAGCTGTGAAAATGGCTAGTTAAGCGAGTCCAATCATTCGCCCTGAGGATTGGAGATGTTGTTTGTTTGCCTACCTAACACCTAACAAAGGAAGAAAAGGAGATGTGATAGTTCAGGCCTATAGCCCAGAATGGCCGTTTCCTATTTTGAACAAAAGTGCTGTAGATGTCAGTGGGGTCTCTGGTCTCTGAGGAAGGAGCTGACAGATGCATGCTGAGGGCACACTGAGGGAGGCCTTGGGGGTGAGGAAACAACACTTTTCCCTCGAAGTAGGGGACAGAAGAGCAGGTGAACTGGATCCCTGTCCACTCAGGCTGGAAGTGTCATATTCAGTGCAGATTGTCAAAGTGAGCTCTAGAAGGAAGCTGCCCTCATGGGACTCTGGGCTTAATTTAGAGAAAGGAACACAGATTTTTCCCTGACATCTTCTCATCCCCCTCTCTCCATCCTTTTCCAATGAGGATATTCTCTTCTCTGTAGAAACCGTCTTACATAAGATATGGGAGGCAAAGACACTGTATGGTGAAATTAGAGTGTGCATTATAGTGCCCTAAGCAGCAATTCAACAACATGTACTTTTTAAGAAATTGTATCTGGGGCCAAGAAATTCTTCTCATCTATAGGCAAATTATTCCTAGAAAATTTTCCTCTTACGATTTAATTAACATAATTAAAAAAAAAAAACGCATGCTCGATGCCAACACCATTCACTCTGTCAGGTAGGCTTTCATTTCCCAGAGCAGTCTGTACCCCACAGATGGTTCTTTGGCCCCAACACTGAACTCTCATTCAAAAATGATTTGCTTGTCATAGTGCAAAGGAATCTCAGGTTAGGCTTCCACTTTCAGGAGGGCTGCTACTGTCCATCTTAGTCTCTGAGAGCTGCTCCAGTCTGGGAGCTGCATGCATCAAATATGCATATTTAGTACCATCAGCCCTTCCCCACTCAGGTCTTTACATCAGAAAAGTGCTATCAAGTTACACACTGCCATTGAAACATAAATACAGAAGTATATCGGGGAGAATCTTTTACATTTTCTGGGTCTTGGTTTTCACCTCTAAAATCTAAGTGAATTGGACTGGCTAATTTCCAAGTTTACTTTGAATTTTAAACCTGCCAGCCACTGTAATTATCCCTGGTAGAGGGATAATTACTGACAGCTTGAACGAGAAGAGAGGACGAGTACTCCACCTACAGAATCCGCTATTCTCATTCCTCCTACTAGTGCACCTACTGTCTGCGCTGCCCTGTGGGCACCAGTCTGTTGGCTCTACTGAGATCTACTAGATGGGAGGCACCTTGTGCTGTCAGCATGCTGTCGCAAGGGTCAGGAGCTTTCTCTGGTCATAGCTCCCAGGCCAAAGGTCCCCCCAAAGTGAATTCCACGGAACCAATTTCTTTCTAAATCCACTTCATAGGGCATCTGGGTTTCTTACTTGACATGGAAGTATATGATCTCCCTTTATAGAACTGGGTGTAAACTTACTCTCCAGAGGCAATTTGTTTCCTTGGAAGGCAATACGCTGCAATGTGAGTAAACTTGTGGTGTGAAAAGCTCAACTTTCCACCGTGAGATGAACCAAGACAAGAGGAATATAGAATGTTTTTGTCTTCCATCATAAACTTCCCTTAAAAAGAATTTTTATAAGTTTATATTTACCGATCATAATATAAAATTTGGGTGAAACAAACTCTAAACACCTGGACACAATTAGATGCCATTCACACTAACCTTTAAATATTTTCAATTACTGATTAATGAGACCTTGACTTCGGAACCAGCAGAACATACTCCTGTGATCTATCTGAACCTTTTCCAAGAGGCAAAAGCTTTTGGAGAATAAATTTCAGGCTCTGGCATATCAGTGCTTCTAGTCTCCTAAGTATCAAATGTCCTTGCAGGTAATTTTACAAATGTATGATTTTCTTAAGAGGGAGAAATAGTTAACTACTTCCAATTTAGTTCGAGAAAAGATTGATCAAGCAGCCCACCTTTTGATACTGAGAGCACTTCTGTCTGTCTTTCATATATTTTCTCACCTCATTGCCAAAACAAACAAACAAATAAACAAACAAAATGGAGGTGGGGAAGAAAATCATTTCGAGGTACAATACAATTTTTTAGAATGAATTTAAAATAATTTAGAATGATCTTTTCTGAAATAGTCAATAATCATTTACTGATTTCCCTGGCTATCTTTTAAGTGGGTCTATTTTCTGCTACTTTTTAAAATTACCTTATCATTCAGATTGTTGCTCATTAAACACTAAATGCTACAGAGCTCCCAGGACAAGTCATACTCCAATCTCCAATGCAGAACAATATGGTTAATGGTCTTGGAATTGCTAAGATATCATACATATCTTTTTAAAAAGCAATTTTAACTGAATATAAATATTAAATTAAAAAACTCAAACTTTAATTATAATATTTTTTCACCCACATACCACTTAGACCTCAGAGTGCCGATTTTTTTTTTTTATAAGATTATGGTGCCATTAAAACATCTAGAGATTGAGGTCCATCTAGAGATAAGAACGAATTCCAAATCATCAAATAAAATCACTGTAACCAGTTCTGGAAATGGTCCTAAAATAAAAAAGCATCAGGTACAGCCATTGGCACACTGATAGGGACCATCAGTGCTAGTTTTTTCTTCCTTTTTGCTAAAGCCCTAGGAGAAAAACAGAGGGATGATTTTGGTCATTGATTATACCTTCATTTTGTCAATGCCCTAGATGAGCTTTATGATCCCTTCCTACCTATTGAGTTAAAACTACAGGTGGCATTCTTTATCAGAAGACTTTTTCAAACTATTGTTAACTGTTTTGAGAAAGACAAATCCAAGGGAGATTAAGGTGAATGAAATCAACAGATTCATTCATTCACTCATTACATACATCATGAACTATTTAATAATCTCCAGCTGTAGAACAGGTACTGTGTTAGGTGGTGCTGGGGGAAAAATAATGGGCAGTCAAAGGGAACAAGGGTCTGCCATTGGGGAGCTTGCAGTTTGGTGAGGAAGGTAGATGATCAAGAAAACCACATGAAGAAATGCATACTGGTAACTGGAAGTGCTTGGAGGGAGAGAGTCTCTCATAGAGGGCTGACTGGGAGGAATGATCAGGGAAGGTGACTGGAGGAAGCAAAGTTTAACCTGAGATACAAAGGATCCTGAGAAGTTAACTAGGCAAAGGGGGAGAAGGTGGTGGTTGAGGAAAGAGAAAGAAGAGGGTTCCAGGTGGTGAAAGCACACATGAAGAGGCCTTGTGGCAGGAAGGAACAAGGGGCACTCAAGGGACTGGAAGAAGCTGGAGTGGCTGGAGCACAGCGTGGTGTGTGCAATGAGGCCCAGATGTGATTAACACCCAGCAGGCAGGTCAGGGCCAGGCCGCAGATTCTAGTAGATCAGGGTTGTTTGTTTGTTTTCAAACTCTCATTTAAGCGAGTCAAACATATGGGGGAATATATACCTACCTCAGAGGAAAAAACACCGTGGGACTTTTTTTTTTTTTACTGTAAAGCCTTGGCTTGAATTCAGAGTTTTCTTGGGCCACAAAAACCCAGGGCATCTTTAGCACAGCATCTAGAAGTCTCTCTAAACTTCACCTCAGGAGAGCAAGCAGTGTGGAAGGAGGAGGGAGAGGGTTTTATTTGCTAGAAGCAGATCAGAGTTTGGAAAGTCTCTGCCCTTCCCTGTTCCTAACTTGGCCTAGGAACCCAGAGGAGAAGAATGTACTCAGGGCAGCCTCTGTAGGCGGCAGCAGCAGTGCTCAAAGCTGGGCAGACTCCAAACTGGTGCTGTTCTCAGCATCTGCACCATGAAAAGCATTAGATGTCCTTCGGTCATTTGTTAAGGTATCTATCGCATATATTTGGAAAGAATGGAGCATAACCTTTTTAACTTCGTCAAGTGCAATGTTTGCTTTGACAACAGATAAGAGAGGCAATGTCCCAGTGCAGTATGTGAAGTGTTATAACAAAGGTGTGGATCAGTTGAGATGCTTCCAGAGGGGGCTGCCTCTGGCTAGGAGCAGCCCTGTCAGCTTACCACAGCGCCTCTCAGAATTCTATCAGTTCTACGCATGCCACGCTGTGAAAAGGTTGAGAAAGGCTGAGAAAGCATTTGAGGACTCTGTCACTTTGGTTATCTATGAGTTTTTAGTGTAGAATAAGAAAAAAGTTTGAAGGATGTTTTGAAACAGAAATGATACGCTTTATGTTCTAATCCTTCCTTCTCATTTTCCTGGGCTCTCTTGATC